TACACTCTATCCACTGAGCCAAACCAGCTAGGGCTAGAATATAAACTTTTTATTTAGTAACCTTACAGGCAACCACCAGGACAATTTAAAAATAGGCTTTCTGCCTTGCAAAACACTAGAAGATAAAAGCAAATATGGAAAAACTCAGAAAACAGGAAATAGCAAAAGTAAAAACTATAAAATAGGATGACAGATAACCAAAAAATTAGCTACAACAGCAGAGAAACAATGGGTTACATATCAGCCAGGGTGGAGGCACTGCATGTTCTTAGGGTGGACCCCTGTACCTCCAGGCTTTTGCTAATGCTGAACCTTAGGCCTGGCTTGCTTTTCTGCCTTATTTAAAGCTAACGCCCCAGGTCCAGGCAGACCCCTTCCTTCATCCAGGCAGTCCTCCAGGATTACTCCAGGTGGGGTGAGCACTCCCCCTCATAGAAAGTTAAGCTGCTTGTGTTTGTGAAGCAGATGCTTTGGCTCCAAAAGGAAGTCCCCACCCCACTCTCTTATCCAGGATACAGGACAGGGCCAGGCCTCCTCCCAGGTGCCAGGCACAAGGTGAAAGCGTTGAAACCCTGCTGAACTGTGTGTGTGTGTGTGTGTGTGTGTGTATGTATGTGTATATGTGTATGTGTGTGTGTATATATATATATATACATACACTGTGTGTGTGATTTCAGGGAGGAAAGGAGAGGGAGAGAGAGATGGAAATATCAATGATGAGAGAGAACCATTGATTTGCTGCCTCCTTCACGCCCCCTACATCGAGCCTGGGCATGTGCCTTTGACCAGAGTCGAACCTGGGACCCTTCAGTCCGCAGGCCTAGGCTCTGTCCCTGAGCCAAACCAGCTAGGGCTGTAATGTATATTTTAACTTGTCTCCCGCCAGTGAGCATTTCCGAGCAGCAAGTTTCAAATCGGCTGTTTGCTGACGAATGCAGACACGGTCCTTGGAAGCCTCCCACACACCCGGCCTGTGGTCCCCGCGCGGGGGCGGGTCTTCCCACCGCCGTGTCATATCCACCCATGACATCTGGTACCGCCCCACCTTGCAGACTTTCAGGGTTTCAGGTGTCCCCTGGGAGGCCGCGTCCGAAGGGCTTGAGCGGGAGAGGAATGGGACTCGGGGCTCGGCAATCGGGAGCCCTTTCCCCAAATCAGTGGGCTCCCTCTCTGCCGCCAAAAATGTGGGGTTCAGAGAGGGCGTGGCCCAACTGGATTTGTTGGAGAGACTGGGGACTGAGCCCAAGGGTCTTGGGAAGGAACAGGCGACGAGCAGAGGGGCTCCCGGCAGACTCGAGTGCGTGAACGCGGCTCCCAAATGTGGGCAGGGACTCGGCAACCAAAGGGTTAAAACACTGTGTCCCGCCCCGGCCCGGGGATTGGCGGCCCCGGGGGGCGTGGCCAGAGGGCGGGCCT